GAAAGAGAGAAGAGAAAGAGAGTGATATATATAAAGAGAGAGAAACAGAAAGAGAAGGAGAGACAGATTAAAAAAAAAAATATATATAGCAACCCCATGATATGCCTGTTCTCGCTGTGTAATGATTGTGTAGGGCTGATATAGTTCAAAAATGGCTGGATTGTTGGTTTTGAGTAAAATGGCCTGAGAGCACTAAAAACACTTAACTAGGCGGGCCCTCATCTCATTCATCAATGTAAATTGCGATATATTTACAACCAAAATTTGTTAATACAAGAGAGAAGGAAAGGTAGGCACAGAAGACATGCTACCTTTACTACTTAATAGTAAATATATATTTGTGGGATGTTTAGTGACCGTTAGCCAATGATTATTTGGAGATCGTGAGATGCGGTCTGGTGTGACGCAGGTTTTAGAAAAACATTTTCTTTGTCGTGTCAACGTCTCATCATGATAATCTTCAGGGCCTGGTGTTGTCTGCATTTCAACAAAAAAGAAATTGCAAGCAATGATAAGAAACTTGCATCTATATCATATTTATGAGATTTTACTAATGCTATATGATTTTCTACAAAGGTTATCTATCAAGAAATTTAATCTTTATAGGCCTGCAGACATTGTCCTCAAAGATGATCTCAATACTTTTTAACGAGTGATGCCACAATTTAGAAGTTACTTGAGACCAGAATGAAAGAAAGTGTTTTACCTACGAGAATATTTAGATCAAAAATTTAATTGCTACGTAAAAATGGAACGATTTATATTTTCGCAATTGAGACGTTTTGGTGTATAACTGACGGAACATTTAGTAAAAGGCTTAAAACAAGTTGCTTCGATGTTTTCTTACGCTCCAATTTGAAACCATATTAATTCGAAGGCGCGGAAAAGAAAATATGCCTGTTATCTGAACAAAGTATCTTCTTATTTGTAAGTTTGCGCTGATGAGATAGGATCTCAATTAAACCCCCCGCATGGAGAGAGATGCCGGCTTGGAAGAAGGGGCTATCTCGCAAAGCCATCTGCCAACATCGTTAACAAATTTACTGAGTCACCTAATTACGTAAATGACCGCCAAAAAATCACTCCCTCTTGTAAAATTCGTTGTTAAATCGGTTAATTTTTTTAACAGCTGAATTTTAATTAAAACGAACGAATAAAACCCAGTGATTTCTTAAATAAGTAACATAACTTCTATCTGATGCATTAGACGGCTGTGCCCTATCAGGAGACCAACCATAATTCAGTAAGTCGTTTGTAAGTCCCTTAATCTGTTCCCGGGGTTCATGCCCGAGGTGTTGTTCCATCAGGTTTTGAACTCATTAAGGATCGATTTACTTCGTGCTTGGAAATTTCAGTAAAAAGGAGTGAAAACAATTCCATGTCTGCCGAATCTTGAGTGCAACTTTAAATATCCGGCATTTAAAAGAACACAAGATTTACATAACTACCTGAACGAGGCAAAAAAGGGGGGAAAAAGCTGCAGTAGCAACAGAGTTAGATGAATTGGAAATAAACGCCAAAAACCCGCTTTGTCTGTTCACAGTTGACCGTATCCGAATCGGAAACGGCGGTTAAATTGATTTGCAATGCTGGTTCCGACTCACTGGTCGTGGCACAGCTCCCCCTCAGGAAGACACGGCATGGGTTTTAAAATATACAGAAAAAAACCACCCAAACTCTTTAGAAAGTGTGCCGAGATAAAAGGAAAAAAACCACGACTTTCTCGCGACCCGTAATGAACCTCGATTAATTAGATTAATGCCTCATAACGAGAGCTAATGTTCGTAACAATGTTCGTTCAACGGAATCCGTGTTAAAGTAGATGGCTTTGTGTTTTTCATCACCGGTAACAAAACTAGTGAAAGTTTTATTTACTCCAAGACGTAAAGTGTTTTCAACGTACTTCGAATTTTCTTGTTTAAAACTTCTCTCGTCTTTTATACAGACTTTCAAACCTATGCTGCAAAAACGAAGACTAAGCTACAACATACTACTCAAAACCGACGTGGACTTGTTTGGAAATACGGACCTCAGCCAAAGAATGGACTCCGAATATTCCAGACAAAAACCTTCCGCTGTACTGAAAAAGCCCCTTTTCGTATCCAATCCTTTCTCTACCCCACGACCTCAACATCCCTTACGATTCCCACGCCATAAAAGTAGCGATAAGTAATAAGTGATAACGAATAAACAACAGTGGGTAATGACATTTCCACTAAAGATTATACAATTCCATTACTTTATCATTATCATCTATTTACTTGCTGTAGTTAATTACTTTTTTAAATCATTTTATTTGTACCCTATACATATTGGGATGCTATGTCATCCGCGACTTCGACCACGGGGGACTATTTTAATGTATTTTCTAATGCTATTCAGAGTGCTATGGCTTTCTAATATAATGCCTCATTCTTCAAATTCTTCTCATCTTAGTACACATTCGGTTAATACTTTATAAAAAATAGGGATGGAATCAAAAAAACCTTTCTTAGAGGCTATCCATGTCATTGTAGACTGCACTCGAAATTTCAGCCCTTCAGATACAGCGGTTTGGGTTTGTGCGTTCTCCATCAGTTAGTCACGGAACTGTTTTATATATAGAGATATCAAACGTGATCACAGCAAATTTTATCACAAAGTCACAGCACTAACACAAATGCCAGAACCACCATGGGACTCAGTGTGAGGGATTAAGGAGCAAGGAAGGTCTCGAGGCCATCGTCGATTAAGGCGACGTGGCGGATTCTCGGGATGGGAATGAGTAGAGAGGGCTCGAGGTTTAGGTTAGATGGAATCGGGAACGGATTAGTCGTTAACAAAATGAAAATGCGGTCGTTGTGTATAGAGAAGTTAGTGACGTAGTGAGGAGCTTTGACGATTTGCCTAAGGATTTTTGATTGGAAGGATTGGATGCGCTGGATACTGGGCGAGTTGATAGAACCCCACTCCGTTGTCCAAATTGGCCGCGGTAAAGTCTTGTGTAAGGTTAGTTTAGTGTTGGTGGTCAAGACGAATTTTGGTCCTAGAAGTTTTCGTAGTTGTCCAAGTTTCTTGTTACGTTCTTGCTTCTTATGACTTGGTGGGGATTCGATTTTTGTCTGCTGTCTGTGTATAGTCCTAAGTATTTGACATGAATAGAAGTCGCTATCTTTTTGTTGTGATCTACAGTCGAGGTGAAGACTGTTTTTTTCAATGTGAAGGTACACTAAGTACATTTTTCTTCATTCATTCTTGTGTTCCTCTTTTTGCACCAGTATTCGATCAGGTCAGGTGTTCTTGGAGCTTGGATAGGATTCGAGTTATAGGACTTAAGGTTTATTAGACTTATAGGTATATTGCCTTGTTGTCTAAGTCTTGAGCTGGGGTTCGATGTCAATCTGCTGGGTATGTACAGTCCTAAGTATTTGACTTTATAGTTATTGGTATACAGTGGAGGATAAGACTGCTTTTTTGTAAATGTCCGAGAAGGCCTGCCATTTATCCAGAAGGTCAGAACAACTCGGTTTAGCAAGAAATCATATCAATTGGTCTGAGCAAGATTAGACTAAAATCTTGTTTTCAGATTATTCAGGTTTTATTTGAGGCCTTCTGACGGCCGAGAGAGGGTTTGGAGAAGAACAGGAGAGCGATACATCCCCGCAAGATTTTCACTCCGGAGAGGCCATGGAGGTGGTGGTGTTGCGGTTTAGGTTCCATTTCTATGCAAGTCACACAAACTTGATATTCATTGAAGGTTCACTAACAGCTTCGTAATACATCGGAAGAGTTGTTCCTTCTATGGCACTAATCGGCGACGATTTTATTTTTATGCATGACAATGAAAGCTAGGATCGTTGGTGACTACATGGAACAGGCTTCATGTCAATGTTTGGAGTGGCCAGCTTGTTGTCCCAACTTAAACCCTATCGAACACAAATGGGGCGATTTGTCAAACAGAGAAAAATTCGCCCTGTGATGTCCGATAATTAGCAGGAATTAAGAATGGATCTGTTGGAGTATGAAAATGTTCCACAGCACTACATTCAAAACCTCATAAAATCAATGCTACGTTGAAAGTATGAAAGTAAGCGGTGATCAACGCAAATGGAGGAAATATTCCATATTGAATTGAATATTTTCTTCATTGTTTCCATAGCAACTTTTTTGATTAAATTGTTTTTGAATAGCAAGCTTTCGTATTCCCATTAAAATTTGGAGCAATGTTGGTTGGCACGATTAACCGACATCTTATGTCAAGAAAAAAAATCGCCTATGATATAACAACTGACATTAGCCGTAAATTGTATTTATACTAAGTGAATTCGGCTGGAGTAGAAAGGATTTCGGGGTATTGTGCTTATCGTTTTCATGTGTGATGTCCACTGATGGCTAGTTATACGTTTTTCCAAAGTTGCCGTCCACGCATGTTAGGAATGACAGGATGGAAATCCGTACGTAGAATCCCACATGGTGAGCTATGAAATTTGCTCGTTTTTGTAGGAATCTCTTTATCGATCTCGCATTCCCTTGGTAATGGCCGATGATTACCATCGCAATTGGGACGTTTACGAGTTAAACCGTGCCAGAACGTGATTGTACCGACCCTAACTTTTATAAAATATACGAATATAGATTGTAGACTTACTTATTTCTGATACTGAATTGATTGAAATTGTCAACAGGGAAAGTCAAAATAAATATAATTTTAAATAACAGCTCACAGCCTTGGGTCTTGAAGTTTTCTTATTATTCTATAATAATATTCTATAATTATTATTATTCTTTTTGTTAGGTCTTGGTTGAGCCAAAAATGTCAATGTCACGAGCGGGATTCGAACCCACGACCTGGGGGTAGAAATTTAACATCTAGTCATTAATTAAATATCTATTTAGTTAATTGTCTGTGCAAATTGTTTATTAATATTTGTCTATCTGTTGAATTTCTTATTTGTTCTATTCACTGTTAATTGTGGTTACAAATTTGTGGTTACCTAAACTTAATTTTAAGTCGTCTAATTCTAGTATTAGTTAACATGGAATCTAAACGTGAAAATATGGACATCATGTTAGCACTAGGAGAAGAAGAACTTCAAAACCTAAGTCAAGACCTGAAGGAAATTAGGGATCTCGGAGAAATTCTGACTACCTTACACGATGATCAAGCACAGCTCAATATTTGTAAGGTTCAGATTGCCCGAATGGACGGTATGTGGGATAAGTTTTGCACAGTATTCCGTAATACAAAGGAATATGCCAAATTGATTAATGTGGATACCCCCTCATTAGATACGCTAAGGCAAACGACAAAAGCCTACTGGTTCGAAGCTTTGTCCTTTCAAGAGTCATTATTTCGAAGGTCCCGCCAAATACCATTTCTACATACAAGGACGAATTCGACAATGTATGCCAGGAAAGGTCAAGTTCGCATGGTCAAGGTGCAGAACGTAAATTTATTTGTCCAGTGGTTAAATTGTCGCCTTAGTTCCCAAAAGGAGACAATGATGATGACTCTAAAATTTAATCATTAAATTTGGTGGGCGGTATGTTGTGGCCAACAATATTACAGTAATTATTTAGATGTCATGGGTTTGAGTTCTTTTGTTTTGTAGTCCTCTGGTCTGTGATCAGATGTTTGTGTCTGTCGCTGAACAAGTTCAATAGTGTCAAGACCGCGTTCTTTGTGCGCATGCGTGAACGATAACCTCTTGTTTTACGAAGTGTCAGTCCGGTGTTCAGTTTGGATAACCAGAAAATTACCAAACCCGTCGTGTCGTCTGCCTTAGACAAAATCCGCCATCGTGAAGGCACTTTATCTAACCGCCGCATGAATCATAAGAGAGGTTATATATCCTATCCGCTGACGTCAACTAGACATCAGGTAACAATCTCGTGCTGATACGTTGTGCTCGAGATTGCTCTTTTTATTATTGTTGTTGCCCGCCTGCCGCATCTACTGATTTGATAATTAAATTCTTCGCCAAGAAGTGAACTCAAATATTTTGGAACTTAAACTCTTGATTATTTATAAGATAATAAATTCATATGTAAATCAAATTTAGTTATAAAAAAATATTGTTAAATTAGATTAAAGTGCCGGCATCTATTATTATAATTTGTAAAGACTTAATAAATGTTGAATCCGGAATCTTTTGTTCTTATTTAATAATTAAATGTATACCAGCCCTACCGCGGATCCGAAATTAATTCAAGCATTTTGCAAAATTGTTCGGTCAACGTACATTTTGAAATGTTATTGTGTTTTGTTTCTTATTATTGTTATGTAGAATTAGTTTATGTATCATATTTGAATGTAAGAATAAAAGGATAAGGATGAGCCAATACTCATGCTGAGACTGTTGCTAGTCTGACTCCATTATTATTATTATTAGCCATACAAGCCTACGGGGAATTTTTAAATTATGGAATAAAATTCACAATTCTAATTAAAAAAAGAAACAGAAATAAATTTTATAATTTTATTAAATTTTATGCAATTTAAAATGGGAATTTTGTATGCATTTGGCCTTCCGAATTAAGAATTTTAAAAAGAAAAATTAAAGCTTGGATGGCATTAGGATAAATAAGATTACGAGTGAATGTTTGGAGTCAGAGCTTTATAGAAGATAGAAGGTTTGGATGTTAGGGCGTGAAATGACCTTAGCCGTTAAAACGCCCTTAAAAATTAATAATAATAATAAGCATAGATCAATTCGTTCTTAAAAATTCTCTCTCTCTCTCTCTCTCTCTCTCTCTCTCTCTCTCTCTCTCTCTCTCTTTCTATCTCTATTTTTTTTTACAGGGTTTGGCATCAGCAGAGGTTATATAAAGCCTCAGGGTGCCGGTATTTTTGAAAAAAAGCCCATTTGTAAGTATGTCGATTTCGAATGCAGGGCCGCTGGATTCGAACCCGGGACCTTTACCTTACAGTGATGAGCGCCGTGTCAACGCCTAAAACGTTGCGGCCACCGACGCCCCCTATATCGTCCTGTATTATTTATATACACTCTTGTATTGTGTATATATTGTATATTTTATATATGCATACAAATATTGTGCATAAATATTTGTACATTTATAAATAACCGAGTTATATACATGCTTATATTATATACATACATAAATATACAGTAAATATAATAAAATATACAGACTTATTAAAAACTATAATAATTGTAAATTATAATAACTATAACTCTCACTATCTTCTGATCCATTTTTTACGCAGTTTGATAGTCGTAGTTCACTCCTCACTGTATTTTCCACTTACATTATACAGTTGATTGATGCAAAAATGAAAAATACACACCAGGACAATCAGTACTGTAACACATTTTATATTTGAATTTTACGATCCATATTTCATATTTATACATATCTCATATGTTTCGCGTGGGTTTTAGACTTTTATTAATTGATATTTGTTGTTGCAGACACTATGACTCGGACGACGAGGACCTGTCCTGCGGGCACTGGTGCGAGTACGTTCTCGTCGTGATCCTTTCATCTGTCCTCCTGGTCGCCTCTCTCGTTCTCGTCCTCTTCTGGTGCCTGTACTACAGAAAAGGTTATGCCTGGAACGAAAATCCAAAGGTACAGTTCAACCTTCACCCGACGCTCATGGTCGCAGGGTTCATCTTCTTCAGCGGATTCTGTAAGTTTCGTCATTTTACGTTTTTTTCCATAACCATTAATACCAAATCGTTGCACGATCACTGTGGTTCGATAGAGCACAATCAACCAAATAATATATTATAAATAAAACCAAAACTTCAGGGGAAATCAACCACAGAAGGTATATTTTCTCAGTTTTAGAGCAAGTTTGAAATAAGTACAGGACACGGGTCGGCTTAAAACAATTCATTTAGTGTGTTCAAGCACGTATGTGGTGCGTGATCAGGGTTGACTTCCTTGATATAATGACAGTCCGACATGAAGCCAACTGGTGACCATTCACGCTCTCCGAGAGCGACGCATTACGACCATTCTGATTTGAAATGGAATGGATATTGCGTTATTAATGCCTAAACGAGTCCGATAACTGAAAATATTACAATAAATATTTCTAAGTTTAAAAAATCAGTTGAGATATACGGAAAGTTATTTTGTAATATCTCATATTTTAATGAGACACAGGATGTCCTTTTGTGCCTGCGGGTGTTTCCGAATTTTTTGAACATATTCAAAAAGCGTACCCCTGTGATATTTGCGCTTTATTGTGATTTTTTTGTAGTACACTTTATAGTGTTTTTTTGTCGTGTTTTTATGGAAATGAAAACGTTGGGATTATCGCTTTGCTGTGTAGTATCGGATAGTCTGCTAAATTTTCCAGGAGGTTAAAAAAACGCAAGAAGGTACGGGGCAGGAGTATTTGGTCCTGTAACTAAATACTCAGAACCCGTGGGAAAATGCACTCGTATCTGCCAAGCTGAGGTCCATTCAATTGTAAGATGTATCCAATTCGAGCTGAAAAAAAGGGTACAAAAACGAGAATATAGCTATTATGTCAGATAGCTAAGCAGCGATCAAAGCGCTATTAAAACTCCACTAGCTCAAAATGCAAGAACAAACTTAAGAAATTAGGCATGCAAAACAAAGTCAGCCTTTGCTGCGTCCCAGGGCATGTGGGACGGGCTGCTAGCCGCTGATAGAACCCGAACCCTTCTGTGGCATAGGAGTACAAAATATCGATGAACACCTCAGACAAAAGAATGAAAAGAAAACAACAAAGGGAACAATGTAACTCGCTCATTGGACACAAAAAATCCAAGAACCTCCTAACAAACGTTTTAAGGAAAGATGTAACAGGAAAAAAAGCGAATCTTAACAGCACACTGCAAACTAAATGGACATGTGAAGAAGACTGGCATAACTCAACACGGCAAGTGCAGATTCTGCAAAGAAGCAGAGGATACACCAAAACACCTAGTAACAAACTACACTTGCCCACAGGAATTTTGGGACAAATAACGTAACAGTAGAATTCAACTACTGAAATCGGGGTTTAACTAACGGTACATTAAATAAAACTTGGTATCATTCTTATATAAAGATAATATTTATTTAAAAATTTAGCAAGTTAAATAATATAAAAGGTATCCTTAAAAAAAGTACAAATACTACACTAATGTGAACAATGGCCTTGCATTGGGGTAAATCAGCTTTGTATGTTGTTTTTAACTTTAGGCCCGATTCTAAGTTCTCATCGATAAGCCGATTTCTTAATCTACTCTTGATAAAGTTCATGCTTGAAAATGATTGTTCGCGTAAATATGTATGGTTGGCCGCGGTAGCCGAGTGGTTAAGGCGTCAGACTCTCGGCTAGTAGATCCCGCGGTCGTGGGTTCGATCCTCACTGTCGCCTCTGGACTTTTTCTGACGCCTAAGGGGACCGGTGGCCGCAATTGAAAGAAATTGACAAGGCACTCATCAATGGAAGGGGCGGGATCGGAACTCAGCGACCCTGAATTTGGTCCCAACCCCCTTCAAAAATGAGTTTCTTCGATGGAAGAACACCGGTACAACAGGGGCTCAAGTTCACATTTGTGTTGCGAGCCCTCCCCCAAAATATGGAGCCGAGCCAGGGAGAAAGTACAACAAGCTGTACAGCTCAGCTGCTGTGCTCAGGAGGGAACTTCTCCAGTCCATGGCATCCATTGTAAAAAAAAACAGCAAACAATGTAAACCCAAATAAAGAAAGAACAGCAAACGCTAGTTTCTTCAGTTGATCATAATCATCCAGAGTTAAAAATCAACATATCTTTCCTCGCCAGATCTTTCAAAGCAGACCATTTGTGCTATAAACGTAATTCTCCAATAGCTGTAAATCGGTTTAAAGAAGCTCGAATTTTGAGCTCCGAAATTCTTTATTTTTTAAATCCAGCAACTGCATTTCAAAGCTGCCAATATCAATATTAAAGGGCAAAAAATTTCTGTTACCGTGGCATTCAGAGGTTTTTTTTAACAAAGGCTAGCGTCTCTTTGTTGTTTCTAAAGTCTTTGTACCTGGTGAGCAAATTTCTTTAGGTAATTTCTGCGCACAGAGTGCTTCCTGATGAATAATACAATGGTAAGTATCTCGTGATTAATTTTTTCTTTAAAAATAGCGACAATCCCATTTCTTGCACCTGTCATACTTTTCGCTTCATGTCTGCGCTAAACATTTAGTGAAAGCCAAGAAGTCAAAGAGCCGCATACGGCTCGCGAGCCGCGGTTTGCCTATCACTGACATAGACGAACAATTTTCAGTAACTGTTTTAACCTTTCTTCTAACATTTTAACCTTAACCGGAGATCACTTAGGTCATTATACACATTTGGTATGACACCCATTTCATTTATAAAAAAACGACGGAATATAAGCGTAAAGGTTTTAGCTCCCAGGATTTTAGATTCAACGTAGAAATTTTCTGCACGCTCAGTTTTAAATTCTACCATGATTCTATTTGAGTCTGTTCCTATCATGTTAATTAAAATTTTCTTACAAAACTGAATGGATGTAGAAAATATTATTTTTCCTAGTTTTATCGGGTGAATTTTGCCCGCATTCCTAGCGAGACTTTCTTTAGGAGAAATGTATCGATCTATGTCTTCAGGTTTGTTTCTATTTTAGAAAAGGGATTGAACATTTCCTTTTTGTTAGAGTCATTAGGTTTTAAAGAATGTTATTCCATGATTTTGATTTTATGTGATCTCCAAAAAGTGGGTCGCCGGGTCTTTTACCAGGCCTCGTGTTAACTGGTCACTAATGAGTTGATGATCAACGTGATAAATATCGGGGAGATCCGTCATCATGCTTATTCCTGCCATAATTATATTAATTATTGTTAGTCCAGTCACTCAGCTTATAGATTACTAGAAGAGAATATCGACTTATCAAAAAGAACTATGCCCAGACTCACGCTGGCTAGTTAACACGGTTGTTGATAAAGTGCGTCCTCACGCCTCGGAAGGTCGAAACACGACTGTTGTACAACAGGATGAATAATTTTGCCGGACAGAATGAAAATCGTCGGTGGAATGCTCGAATGTCCTTGCCCCTGGCTAAAAACGTAGGCATAAAACGGGGAAAATTTTCTGCAAACGTGGCCGGGAAAACATTGTTCGGACGGGCGCGTTGTGTCAATGTTCCAGTTTTTCCTGTGTACAGATCGCTCTTCGAAAAGTTGTATATATTTTTTGTATTCTTCCTTCACCTTTTATGTGTAGAGTTTCAAATCGCTCTCTGGCCATCCAAAAGTACATATGAAAACGATTTATTAAAGTATGATACCCACCAAAGGTTTCTCTATTTTGATTTATTTCATGAACTCAAATTTTTTCTTTTGTTTTGTGTTGCAGAAAGGACAACAGCCGCAGTACTTTCTTCCATTTCTTTCTCAAATTCATCTGTGCTTGAGGCCGTGTTGCATTTAATTATTTAAACTATAACTTGATGCAATACACTTTAACTTAATTAACAAAAAATAATAAACAATTAAAAATAATTAATAATTCTGTTCGCTACCGGTTCGATTAAGAAATGATGGTTGACAAGGCCGAATGCATCAGAGCAATATTATGTCTACGTCCCGCCACAACACACCCCAACTCACCCCAACACAACACGTCCGAACAGTGTGTCCTCGGCCTAACTGTAACTTTCCCGTTAGGCAAGGCCGTCCGGTCGGACGTTTCCTATCTTCCAGGCCGGTCCTAAAGAAACAAACTTACAACGGATTTTCACAATTAAAACATTAATTGTTAAAACTTACGGCTACCTTTCTTCCGACGGTATCTATTACCACTTGACCTGACAATTGAGATTTTCTTTCATTTTGTCTGGTACGTATAACCATCTCATTTATTTTAATTCTCAACAGAATTATGAGGTGGCTCTAGGTGTACCTTTACTTCCTTTTATCTCAGGAGTCTGAAGGCCCTTTCAAAAGCCACCTGTTATACATAAATATGTAAGGTGGAATGTCGAGTGGGGGTTTTAATTGCTGCAGAGGGGCAGGTATGCATTGCGCAGGTTATATTAAGACTTACAAGAAAACTTAAACAAACATGGTGTTTGTAAAAATCCAAGCGTATTACAAATAAAATCATATATAATTATTATTATACTACGTTTTTATTGACAGGGGCATCCGACAGCTTGGTCATTTCAGCCCAGAAGCACAAATACCGCTACACACTCTATACACAATTACACCAATAAATACATTCATTCCTATTGTTCACACTCATACTGTTTGGTAGATGGACTACTCGATATTACTTCATCTACCTATTCACTACAATATACTAATCTAATTTGGGGTCGATGGGGTATTTTTATAAAATTTCCGTCATCAGTCCAAGACACGCCCGCAACTTGAGGGGCGATGGAGAAGCTACCTCGCCATTAGCCCCGCCCCATTCACACCAACATACATTGATCGCACTCATTCTGTTTGGTAGATGGAGTGCTCGATATTCCTCCTTCTACCTGTTCCCTATAATAAACTAATCTAAATTGGGGTCGATGGGGTATTTTTATAAAATTTCCACCATCAACCCAAATCACATACACAACCTGACAGGCGATGGAGAAGCTACTTCGCATCAGCCGCTCCCATTCATACCGATAAATACATTAACTCATACAAGACATACAAATACAAAACACATA